GGGATATCCTGGTGATCGGGAAAACCCCTCAGGGTGACCCAGATACGGTAGACCAGTCAGGGTAGCATAAAAGCATAACCCCAGCCCGGACGTCCAGGAAATTTTTGCAGTGACGCGCCGGGGGCCTGATGATCACGAAGGCTCCCGCAGAAGCCTGTGTTATGGCCGCATGATCCAGGAAGTATGAAGCCGAAAACCGGACATATCTGGACATATATCGACGAGTGAAAATAAGCACTGCAAGTCGAGCACCTGGTTTCTGAACCCAGCAGAGGGGGTGCCCATCGAGGACCTACCCTAGAAAGGGACAGAAACACACAGGTCCCAGGAAACACTGCAAAGAAACTAGCAGAAGGGTTATACACACAACCACCAGTCTCATTAGATACACATATATATTCATATATACATATATTAGACATGGATCGTACTCACCCACCATGGTTCCCGTGTCGGAGCTCTGTCCGCCTCTATCAATAAGATGGTCACTATGAAGCCATAGAATCAACCAAACCTAATATGTCCAGTATAGGAGACTATAATGCAGGAAATTTCCCACCTAACCTCGGTCAGGTGGAGAGATGGTGGTTACAGGGGAATTAGGAAGGTGAAGATAAGGGCAGATGTAAGACCCCCGAAGGAAATAAGTAGATACTGAGGTACCACTCTGATACGGACAAACGCACTGACGCCCTGTCTGGATCACATCCCTTAGGTCTTTTACTCACCTTCCTTTGACCCGCGATTCTTCCTACCCCTACCCGCGGGCGGGGGAGGCGCAGTCAATGAAGACGAAGAAGAGAATGATGTGTGCTCCCGGCGCCTATTTTATAGTCGCACCGGTAGTGACGTCATGGCTGTCGCCGGCCAGCGAGTTGGTGTTTTATTCAATGTATGCTTCAGACACGGGTCACGACGAGGCGTTGCCCATAGCGACCCCTAGAGGACGCAGTTCGAAGTTCCCATGAAAGGGAACATGTATGACTTGAAATGAAATGAAAAAAGTGACATTACATTGGCTGTCAAACTGTTCAAACTTATATGATATATGACCAAATTCTGTGCAGCACCATTCAAACCTCAAAAACAATTATTTCATTAAAATCTATTTTATTATTCTTTTCATTTTTTTTTTCTTTTAATTAACACATTGCATTTAAAATTTGGGAGTTAACAGAGATATTGGTAAACTAGATTAACACGACGGATTTGTCATGATACACCATTTGCTGACAACTGAGAAGTACTGAAAAGTTCAAAAGTTTCTAAAACATTTCATGACAAAAGCCTGTGTGGAGGTTTGAATGTTGGCATATGGCTCATTTCTCAACCCTGCTTGAAATCACAGGGATTTTACCACAGTCAGTGACTATCAAGGCCATCTTTGAGCCAGCCCAACATATTGTGACACTCTCTCACCAAGAACTTAAAAAAACAACAGAAAAATAAGAGGAAAACAAATTTCCACCGTGGTGCTGCTTTGCGGGCCTGTGAAGCTAAGTGGAACTAAAACTCTGAATTATTCATGATCAACTATTCCCTGATAAAGTCTTCAGCAACAAACTAGGCTAATGGGGCCAGGAACAGTGTTTGGATAACCACATTAACTTTAGCTGCACAGTTTTCAGAGCTTCTTTCAACTCATAATACAATTTGAAGAAAAAGGAAGTATAAAAAGCAAAAGTTAAGTGTCTTAATTAAGCAAGCTTTAATTGAGTGTTGGTGATTTAACTCTCAACAGCTCAGGTTAATACAAAAGGTGATACATTTAGACCCACACCTAGCAGAATAATGAGTATTGAACTAACATGTATTTTAATTCAATTATAATTGAGTATTATTTTAATGTTTCTTTCACACTCTGGGATTTAATAAAAATGCATATTTTACGTGATTGCCTTTGAAAATAGCTAACACTTACTCGGGGGAAGACTCTGGTGTTAGGCTGGACATTTCCTCTTGTGTGGGAACTGGAAAGAGACAAAGTGAACAAGCCTCAGTGGAATTTGCATCATACTCTATATCCTGAGAGATTAGGCTTTCACAACCTGAGGAGGGGAATGCTGATTAACCACAGCTAATTACTCCAAACCTGCAGAGATTAAGAGTAATTCAACCCCCCCTCTATCAGCTCATCTAATCCTCTCCCCACTAAAAGAGGGAAAAAGGAACAGCTGGAGGTGAGGGGAGATACTTGTGCAGTTTTCATTATCATTACTAGATATATCAGGAGATATAGCTGATAATGGAGTAGCATTGAGTTTATTACCCAGCGATCTGTAAAATCAGTCCTTAGAGAATATCACTAGCTAAGAGGGGAACGTCAAACCGAAAACCACAATAAAAAAGGATTAGCAAGCATTGTTCCTTCACCTAAATGCTTTTTACTATATATATGCACATAGACTATGGTGCTTTATTTTACACCTGATCCTACATATCATTGCTTTAGTGCCATACATAATTAGGGTTGAATTAGGGATGCATACCATATTGGTACCATTAGACATCTTGTAATTCATTATTTAATTGTGTATGCCATTTTACACTTAACTTTAAAGTAAATCATACAGGTTTGGAGCGACATTGAGAGTGAGTAAATGATGACGACATTTTCATTTCTGAGTAAAGGATCCCTTTAATATTTAAAATCACTAATAATTTGTTAAATATGGTCTTTTGCAAATCTCAAAATGAATGTCCATTTTTCTTACTGTACATTATAATGTTGTAATAAATTCACTTGTATAATTTAAAATAATTCATTTGAGTTTTTAGTGTTTTAAAGGGGTCATATGATGCGATTTCAAGTTTTCTTTTCTCTTTGGAGTGTTACAAGCTGTTCGTGAATAGATAAGACCCCTAAAGTTGCAAAGACTAAAGTCTCAAACCCAAATTGTATTTTTTTTTAAAGTTAAAACTCATCCTCACCCTCCTAAAACGCCTCGTTTAAACACGCCCCCATATGTCTACGTCAT